TTTACTCATTCTTATTATCTGTCTGCCACCGTTTCTATGAATGGTTTTACTGACTGACTTCATGTGCCACTGAATATATTTTCATTTTACGTTAGAAACATAGTAACCTAGTAGCATAGTAATCTAATAAAAAATCTGCGACCAATGGACGATCAACTGCATTAGATGAACGTGCTTCCAAGGGACTGAAACGTTGTAGCGCTAGAAGGAAAAGATTTTGTTTGATTTTTTTTTTTTTTGTCATTATTTGCACGTAAGCAAGTCTGTTATAGTTTATAATAGCAGCTGTTTGTCGATTGTTGACATCAACTAGCTCCAATTTTGGGCATCTATTTCTCATTTATATATGTAAATGTGTAGTTCTGTGTTTACCTGCTTAATTGGAAGCGTAGGGCCGCTTAATCGTTTCTCATTTACACGACGAGGGAATTTCCAGAGAAAATTTCAGGCCATTTATTGGAAATAATTTTCTTTCTCTATAGACGGGCTATCGTGAAAATCTGCACAAGGATAGTTTAGCTTGGAGATGGTGATAGTAATCTGCAGCGTCTGCTGAATATTGGTAGCGTAGATCTTATCAGAAAGTTTCACTTATCGTAGGAGTTTGGAAGATTGCGAGCCTTTCTATCGAACGGACATGTCAAAAAAAAAACTCAAAGCTTTTCACTGCTCTTATCTAACTATCTGAAACTTTAACCGTTAATTTATTTCCAGGGGCGACGAGTGACCTCAACCTACTTTCTTTTTACCCTTACACATGATCCTAAACCTGACATAAGTAAGCACCCTCTGAGTTAAACTCTGGAGTTATGTCCTCATTCATCCATAATTTCATACGTCCATTCATCCATCAGTTTATGCGTGCGTACATCCATCTGTTCGCGTTTCCATTATATCTCAACTTGCCTCTCCGTTTATCTCGTCCGTACGTCTGTCTAAAGAGTTGACCAAAGTCACTGTCGCACGTATGGCATCAATTCGCTAGTGTTTGATAAAGTAATCTAATCCCCTATTATCGAACAATGTCTTCATGGGATGTATGTGGAGAGAGAATTTCCCTTTAAAGTTTATTGATTTCGTGAGCAAACTTTATTTAAAAAATGTGTAAAAGAATTTCCACAAAATTACAAAACGACTGATTTTGCAAATAAATAAACACACATGCACGTATATAGATAATATATAGATATATAGATAAATATTTTCTCGAAGGTCTATTTCTTTAATAAAAATGCGAAATTTTTAATCTCGACTTGAAGCACGTTTATATAATTCAGAATCTTTTGAAGAAACTTATAAAAGCCAAACGCCCATATATTGTTAGAAACATTTTAGTGCTAAACTTTTGAAAATCATATCTCTTATAATGCGGCGGCATAAAAAGTTTGCATATTCAAAGGTTTCTTTAAGTATCTTATTTATCTGTATTTGTGCTTGCGTACCTTTCGCTAAAGCGACCGATGACGATAAATACGGTTTATTTATCAATGATAGAATGTGCGATGCCAATGGCAGTGTTATTCAATGGACAGGAGGACAATTTGAGTTTCCTTGTCCCTCAACAAAATCATTATTTAAGAGTTCAGGCAAATATATACCGAAAAATGTTATTGCTACTCGCGCTCAAATTATCGGCGATATCGCTTATTTGGCTCTGCCACGCTATCGACACGGGGTCCCTGCGACTTTGGTTAAAGCAAATTTGCAACCGGGTATTTGTTATGTCAATTTTGCGCCTTATCCATGCTGGAACATGCAAGAGGAGGGAAATTGTAAAGCTATGCAATCTGTGATCGATATAGTGGTCGATCAAAATGAAGTCATTTGGTTATTGGATACCGGAATTGTGAACACTTTGGAAATCCCAGTACGAAAATGTTCACCCAAAGTGTGGGCTATATCATCAAAATCGTCAAAAGTCTTGAAAATGATCGATTTAGACGGTCTAAGTACAAATACCTCACGACTGCAATATTTAGCTGTAGATTATGCTCCCACTGGCGGTTGTTTTGTGTATGTTAGTGACGCGGCTAATCGAGCTATTATCATCTTTAATGTACAAGTGGATCGAGGCTTTCGTGCCGTACTACCAAGAGCTGTTACAGCTGGAGGACGAAACCGTGATGTCTTATATTTAGCATTAATACGTCATAGTTGCGGTACTGCAGAGTTGTATTTCACTTATTTAAGCACAAATCGCCTGTTTTCTATTAAAGCGGAATATTTGCGAACTGGTGCGGCCGATGGAAGGGTCTTGGGTAAGAATGAAAAAAAAAAAAAAATTCAAAATATGGGAAAGCGCTCGAACAGTTTTCCAATTAAGATTTCAAACTAACTGTTAAGGCAGGTAGCAAGATAGATAGCAAGATAGATAATCTTGGATGGTGTAACTAAGAGGGCACAATTTTTTTCGTCACTGTCAATGATAATGATGACAATGATCCGTGAATATCTTCAAGCGCGGAAATATTTATATGGCATTTAAAATGAAAGCTTTCCCTTTGCGGCGCAAGACCATGTCTGCACTTAAAGCTTGATATATTGCTTAATATAATCCAGGTATGCGGAAGATAACGTCTGACTAAATCGCATTACGGTTGATAACATTTCTAATGGATTTTGGATGGTTGGACGTTATAAATTTCATTTTAAAATTTTTCGTATATTTTTGGTAATTGCTCGGTATACTTACTGCGTCACATATCGTAGATAAGCGTATCTAAAATATGCTTTAAGCTTTTTCAATTATAAATGCTTGCTTTTTTATATCCCTAGGGAGGGCATTAGACTTATATAAAATGCGACTCGAAAGTCTGCTAAAATCTCGACTATGACTTCAAAACTTTTATGTAACAAAACAGCGTTGATTTTAGAATTTTCTCTTATCGCGTCTTGTTGGATTAAGTGCGAACGAAATCGACGAAACCCGTCCATAGATCTTTCGAAAATTACAAAAGAAATCTCTTAAACACTTGCACTCGAAATTGCGCAGAATTTATTTTGGAGTTTTAAAGCGTATCTTCAATTTTTTTTCGTTGAAATTAAATCCTCAGGTTTGAAAATGCCTTAAATGGGATTAGAAACTGGCTTGCATGGGATAAAAAGTCATACAAATTGTGCAATATTTTACTTTAAACAATTACCTCTGAAATGCTTCCACCATACCATATAAATAAATTATATATAAGAAATATATACGATAGATAGATGTACGCCATATGCTTACTATGTATCCGAGCAATGGATTTTCTTTGCATCTTTCAAGCACAATATGCCAGACTATGTGCTGGTCACTATTAATAATATAATATAACTTCATTCTTCTTATATGTCTGGCTTTGTGGTAATGCATAACAAATTATCTAATTCATCTAATTTAATTCAGTTGTGTTTTCTCTCGATTTTTCAATTTCGCAGAAGTAGGTAAAAAATCGTCACGCATGGTTATTATTGGTACGAATAATGGTAATTCAATATTCTTCCGTAATGAAGGCAGTGCCGAAGTCTATCGTTGGGATACTAATACTACGTTTAAGGAGGACAACTTTAAGCCAGTTTACCGCAGCACAACGTGCCAGTTGGCAACACACGCTATATCCGATTATAGACACAATACAATGCGTATCCTTCAAAGTAATTTTCCAGATTTTATGCAAAATCGTATGGGTTGTGGTGCCACACAGCAATTAGCAGTTATGCGAGGTTGTTGGTAGATTACATATGCGCACACAAATATAGAATAAGAAAAAAAATCGCTTCTGATCGAAAGAAAATTTCATTTAAAAGATCATAAGAGCTTTAAAAACCAGCCACGAGACTATAATTGAATTCAATGAATTAAATTAATTGAAATAAATGCATTGAATAAGTTCCAAATAAAAACCAAAAAAAAAAAAAAAAAACGAAAATATTTTGGGAAAGATAATAGAATAATTCCGTTATTCAATAACTGAAGATTTAAAACCATTATATAAACTGGAATGCTTTAAGCAATAGATTTTATTTAACATATATCTTATAAAATAGAATCTCTTTCCAAAAATGTTACCTTGACATCTTTTTTATTTACGTTATACTTAAGGACAAGATATCTTTTACTTTAACATAAACTAATCATATATATGCACATAACGTGGTCCTATTTTCTGTGCTTTCCTCGAACTATTTGGTAAAGACAACCCAATTTAGTCCTATCAAAAAGTAGCGAGTGATGGATCGGTAAATATTTTTTTTATATCTGAATATGTTAATATGTTTACTAGAATTAGAAGATTTTCTTAAACGCTCCCTTGCTTTAATTACGGCCCACAATATCATCAATTTATTGAAACATCATACTAATAACTTTTGAACGGTTTATTTATAGTTGGGGTATGACTCGCGGCTTGTGTTTATAAACTTGAAAAAATAAAATAATTTGGCTTCCGATATAATTTAGCCGATATTGTTTCTTTTTTATTTGATAAAGTTCCCTTTCTTAGGTCTAAGTGCTCATAAAATTGCAGACGGGTACAATATAACAGGATAGCAACGAAAAAAAGCTAGCACGGCAGGCGCGGTCAAATGGGACGAAACAGCTCGTTTTGTTAAAGTTCGCGATTTCACTCGGCTTACTTGTTCCTGCTGACTACTGAAGTACAATTCCAGAACGATCGCTATTCGCACCGGCCTTTTACACAATTTCGCTGCTGTGCCGCTTCGGTTTCTGTAAGCTAGTATTTGTATGCTGTATGATGTTCGTACGGCAGCGGATGTGCATCCATGCATAAAACCGGTTTGGCATAAAACTTGCTTCGTTGCAAACTATTAGGTGAAAACACATCACATGTCTTAAACGGCCTTTCCTTCTTTGCTTGTTTCGTACATTTACTGATATCGCGGCGTGTAACGCTTACAAGGATAAACTGTTAAGCCTTTATTTTGTTATGAAATCCTTTGTTTAATCCTCTTACATAATGGTCACGCAGATACCAACATAACAATGTTACACAGATAGGCAGAGGCAGACTTGGTTAAAACGAGTTCGAATTTTGCGCTCATTAAAAATACATAGACGTTATGGGGTCATCCGTGCGCATTTCCGCAGGCTACAAAAAGAAAAATATTACAAATATTTTTCGAATGACTTAAAAGTTTAAAAAACCTTAGACATATGTGGATAAAACGAAAACAATTAAATTAACTAAGGGATTAAAAGTTTTTTCTCCTTCCGCATAAGTAATAAATAGGCAATATATCTTCTTTTATTTTATTGTAAGCAAAACATCATAATGAAATTTATTTACTAAACATTTCTTCGTTTCGTAAAATTCCCTATAGAAAGTAAGAAAAAGTACGTATCCATCAAACAAACACTAAATATTTAAATGTTACCTCATTTGTGCTGTTTTCATTTGGAACAGGTGGATATGAAATATTTTTTAGTTTTTGATTGTTGGCAACACCATTTTGAAAATTTTGCAATTGCGTGAAAATTTGAGTTGTAATTATTATATACATTAATATATTTTGTTAATTGCATATACACAAATAAGAAAGAAATATAAATGTCCGGCGGCGGTGGTGCATCATCTAGTAAAAACTTTATTCCAATGGTACAAAAATATGATCGAATTATATTGCTCATAGATATGGATTGCTTTTACTGTCAAGTGGAAGGTGAATAACTGCCTCAATAAACATAAATTGTTTTCAATGTAGAATAAATTTATTCAATGTAGAAAAACTCGACTCATCTTTGAAAGGCAAGCCATTGGCTGTGGTTCAGTATAATGCTTGGCGCGGAGGCGGGTAAGTTTATAAACATAGTCATAGTCAGTTTTGTGCTATAAGAATAGTAGCGCAGTTATTTTTGGCAACGAAATTTAAAGAAATGTTTCTACTTTTATCTTATATTTTAACAAAAACATACTTAAGATAGTAGATAGGGAAACTTCATTTAACCGCATTGTGGTATTGTTACCGAAAATGTAGTTTTATTAGTATTAATAAACCATACGTACGTATTTTTGTCTTCTCTGGTATTAGACATTGAGCTTTGGGCTTTAGGGTAAAATTATCCGAAAATGTATTCCTATAAACCCTGATAACATTTTCCATCCTTTATATATATATATATATATATATATATATGTACATATGTATATTAGGCAGGAAATAAAAGAATTATAAAAATATTAAGAGAGAATATTTTCGAGATTTGTGTTTTCGTCGTTTTACGCAAAATTTGCGAAAATCTCAAGTTTAACTTTTTCATGTCAGGTTTTCCATGAGATCTCAGAGACTCTTTTTCGCATTTTATCCAATATCATTCCTTTACTTCTGTGAATTGAGGTTCCCAAGATTATGTTTGCTGCTTTTGGCACCAGTCGAAGTCGTAACAAACCTAATCTATTGCATTTGACGTATTACTACTTATTTCGTTACGAAAGTGTTCAATAGTTCATGGAATTAAATAATACGTTTTCCTTATTTAAATTTTGCCTCCCTTTTCAGCCGTATTCGGATTGCGATTTGCTTACATGTATCTTGCGATTATTCGCTTAAATCCAGAAATGTGACAAAACGAAAAAAATTAAAATTGGTTGCATATCTTTTGAAACGTCCTTCTAGAATTTTTGAAAATAATGTGCAATCTGTCACAGGGAGCTACGTATCAAGTTCAAAGGATCGAAATAGTTCAAAATTTCTTAGAAACTGCAGAACGCATAACATATTATCTCAGATTTCGATCTAGCTAATGAAGACTTTGAAACTGTCTCTGTTATTCGAAGACTGGAAGCAGTAAGTTTCTACGACTATGCGTTTTATACCTGACACATCTTGTGGTACAAGAGTATATTAAGTTTTTCTACATATGCGCAACACCCAAAAAGACTTGGAAATAGGAGCACCTTTTATTACCGATATAATGATGAAGATTTTGCATTCTTTATTTGAACGAAAAAATGTCTAAACAATCTTTGTTTTCTTGTAATATATTCTTGGCAAAAATGAGTGGATTTGTTATTTGAAATCCATTGTGTCTGGGGAAACGCAGAAAACACAATTATCTATCTGGAATATTATAATAATTTATCTACAGGTGTCGTTGCGGTTTTTTCAATAATTCTACGAATTTTATGTAATTTTAGAATTATAGCAGTAAATTATGCGGCCCGTGCTAAAGGCGTAACCCGGCATATGCGGGGAGATGAAGCTAAGGAACAGTGCCCAGAGATTCAATTGGTTAAAGTGCCAAACGTACGGGAAAAGGCTGATTTGACTAAATATCGAGAGGCTGGTAAAGAGGTAGCAAATGTTTTACAACATTTTACCAATTTATTGGAACGCGCATCTGTTGACGAGGCCTATCTGGACATTACCGAAGCAGTAAATAAACGTATGCAGTTAATGAATGAGGTATTTTAGATTGTTTTCAATTCCAGCCTGTCAACTTCGAATACACATTTCACGTAGGGTTCGTTTGTTTTACAACCACAAGAACTGGTTAGTACGTATGTAGTCGGCTACGATGGCATAGGTGACTTTGTTACCGACATTACCAAGTGTTATAACAAGACTTCGGTATATGATGGTGATGAGAATGATGATAATGATGATTTTCGGTGTTTCCACGGAGATAACGTCCCATCCTTACGTTTGAGCAACATACGTCTACTGATTGGATCATCTATAGCAAGCGAAATACGTGCCGCTGTGAAAGCTCAAACTGACTATGAATGTTCTGCTGGAATTGCTCATAATAAAATTCTAGCGAAATTAGCCTGCGGTATTAATAAGCCCAACAAACAAACTATACTGCCATTAGCCAAAATTCCGGAATTATTCGAAACCTTAACATTGGGAAAAATTAAAGGCTTAGGAGGTAAATTTGGAGAAGAAGTTTGCGAACGGCTAAATATTCGTTATGTCGCCCAATTAATAAAATTTACTGAATCGGAGTTGCAACAAAAGTTTGATGAAAAAAACGGGTATGTTTACAAAAATAAAAAAAATAAAAACCACTGATAGAACCTTTGATACCCATCGCTTATCTGTTTAGATATTTAATAATACTATTAATTAGTTATTCGATCGCGCATTTATCAAATATGGGTAGGGCGGGCCGTACATTAAGTGAAAGTTGAACTTAAAAACGCGGCGCGTACTCATAAACATGTATCTACCGAATGCAGTAAATAAACCAAATTATCGTTTCTACTCTGATCGACTTTGAACACACGTATAACTCCTCCATTGAACAATCATTTGTTTTAGGACATTTTGCTTTTGAAATTTATTGAATTTCCCCATGAACATGTATGTATAAGTTTAATGTTTGCCTTGAAAGGGAAAATGCAAATTTTAGGCGATGGGTATAAATAAAGTGTACCTGAATTTCTGCACTAATTGCCATGTATTTTGAATTACGTAGATCTTGGCTATATAACATTTGCCGGGGAATCGATTTAGAAGCAGTAACACCACGATTTTACTCTAAAAGCATCGGTTGTTGTAAGAAATTTCCCGGACGTAATAGCATATCTGGCTTAAAGACGTTGCAACACTGGCTTCAAGAATTGGCGAACGAAATAATTGATCGCTTAGAGAAAGATGTTATTGAAAATAATCGCCGAGCAAAGCAAATGGTAGTAAGTTTTGCGCAAGAGTTCGACAGTGAAGATGTATCCAGTTCACGTTCGGCTCCTCTACTTAATTACACGGTCGAGGCATTAACCAAAAATGCATTTGAAATAATTAAATCAAATACTAAGCAATTTTATCGTGTTGGCAGCGAAAGCGTACTGAACAATCCAATAAAATTTTTGGGCATAAGTGTGGGTAAATTTGAGACAATATCCAATGGTCAAAATAAGCTGCAAGAAATGTTCGCCCAACAAGCAGCTAAGAAGAGAAGAATCAGCGACGATGTAAACGAAGAGGAAAGTAAAGAAAAATTTTTTAAAGCAAGAGAAAACAAAATGGAAAAACCGGACAAGCAGTCGATGCAGGCTCTACCAAAAGAAGTTAAGACGAAAGATGTTCGAAGCTTTTTTCTGGAAGCGATGACAAAATCAAATAACATGCAAAAAAATCAACCGAAACAAAATGGAAAAGATAATGATATTCAGGTCGAAGATAATGAGGACTCGAAAAAGAAAATTGATGACAAGCGAAGTCCTTCATCGCGTCCATCCAAAATAAAACGAGTAAGTGAAAGTTATGAGGAGGACCCAAGTGCAAATGAATTAAGTGACCTTATTGATGATATACGAACTCTGCAAGATGAGTCTCCCAAGAGCGTTAGACACGAAACTACTCAGGCGGCAGATGGTGAAATTAAAAACGAATTAAAGGAATCGAATCAAAATGTTGAAAAAATGCAAAGTGATTATCAGTTGGATTATGCTGAATATGCAATTCCTGAGCACAAGCCTGAACTACTTCCTTTAACAAAATGTACTGAGTGTGGGTGTGAAATTCCGGATAACCCAGTTTCTATTCAAACACACAATGATCGTCACATAGCTCAGAAGCTAAGCGAACAACAACGGCTTGAATATCGAAACACTATCAAAACAAAATCTGCCCATACATCAAAATCGCCAACATCGAGTACAAATACGAAGAAATCTAAAAAAGATAGCAATGTTGATACTAGAAAGCCATCTGCGATGGGTAATATTAAAAAGTTTTTTAAACCAAAACAATTGAAAGAGAATCGAAATGTCATGGAAACTGAGTCGACAAGTGATCGAATACTCTGTGATATATGCAAAGAATACATTAGTAAAGAGAGCGCACAGGAACATCAAGATTTTCATGTGGCCAAGAATCTGCAAAGAGAGCTTAATCAACTTGCAGTTCACACAGTTAAAACTAAAGAATCTTGTCCCGATACCGCACAGAAACGACTAAATTTGCCTGCATCACAATCCACACAGAGCAAAACTATTACGAAACCAATTACGAGTTTCTTTAATTAAATATAATTGTGTAAATATGATGGAAAATATTGTTTTTATGCTTAAATTAAACAAGGCTTTTATTAGTTAGGATTTTCTTAAATCTTAAATCTTCCAATATCTCGGCAAATTCGTTTTGTCCGTAAAATCATTTCTGCATTGGATTCAAAACATGTCGATCATCCCTATTTTGTGATAGACTTATTTTCTTTTACTCACACGATAAATATTAAAGAGATAATCCCAACAAGGGAGTTGAAATTAATGCCATGTTTATGTTTATGTTTAAATTGAAAATTTCGAATCGAAATATTTGATTAGGTAATATTCGCGTTAAGGTCGATTTATGACGACCAAAAACTATGAAGGCCTTTCTTTGGTCGACATGAGTAGTAGTGTGATGGCCGGGTCGCACAGCATCCTGAATAACAGAAGTTGCGTAAAGGTACTTTGCAAAGCACTTTCGAACTGCGCTTCCTTCCACAGTCAGTTAATTAGATTAGGGTTAGATATTCTCAACTCGATTTTGACGTCGTGCAACAGCTACAGGCAAACGGAAGGGGCGATAAACGAATAATGTTTAATCTAGCCGCTATATAGCTTTGACGTATTTCTGAAGGACAAGTCTAACGTGTCTGAATCTTTTGAAAGGTAACAAAAGATTCAATAAATGTGAATTGTGCAAATTATGTACACCATAGTTAATATTTATTTTTTTCAATCTGCGTATTTTCCAAACGCAAGTTTATGGAGAATTCACATACATACGCATTGACGTAAATACATACGTAACTTGAATACCAAAGGAACTTTTTAGATTAACAAAATCCTCTATACTGCGATTGCATTGGTTTTCTCTGTTCCACCGATGTCATTGGTTTACTTAACTGTGTTTGGCAAGATCTTGTTTGTCGTTTCAGAGAATAACAGTGATAAGCCCGCACTAGTGAGCGCAGTAATTGTGAATAATATGGGAGAAGCATTTACAAAATATTTAGCCTGTAAAGAGTGTAAATGCATTCACCGCATAAATATCGCGATTGTTTACTTTAGTTATGTACTAGAAGTGGTGTCTGGACTGCTAACATTGAACCGAAACGACCCGTCATCGAACAGAATGACAAGAGGCTATTGCGTAATGTGGTTGGAAATATTTCCGATGTGAAAAAATATAGAACTTGAAAGCTCGCAGTTATTGCCATTTTACCCAAGTAAAATAACACCAATTGAATATAATAATTATCTGAGAATAATGAAAACAAGTAAGAAAATGATATTCGGTCGCGATCGAATCTTTTATACCCATCACCATTATCCTAACAAAGACAAAGAACTAAATTTTGGAGTGAGCACGGCTGCTTATTTCGTATCTTCGGAAAAGTTTAAATAAGTTCCAATTTCTTGTGCCAGTTTGTAGGCGATATCCCCATTTTCGCTAACGGAAGGATGTTCATCGCAAATACTACACAATTGCGCAGACAGGCGGGTGTACAGATGAATCGTGCATTCCAAACTTAAAACTGGCTAAGAATTTATATAGTTTATGGGATTTTTGATGCTTCTTTCTGCGCCTTATAAAGGTATTAAAAAAAAACACTGCACTTGGTTAGGCATGGTTATATTTTCTATTTTTGTACAAATGCTACAGCATCGCCTATAGAATATGCGTTCGAAATTCTGCAGATTTATCTGCCGCAATTTTCGAATAATGATCGAAGTATCAATTTGGTATTACTTTTTAAAAACAGAGTTGTTCTCCGTTCTCGTAGCGCTGTGGGCGTGTCCTTCGACCGATTTGGCTCACTTTTAATTACAACCTGCGTGCAAGAACTTCCAATGTTTCTGTCAAATTTGAAATTGAGAGGTTATTTCCGTTGTGTGTGAAGGTGAATATAAACGTTTGAATTCGCGTCATATGCTAGAACTGCGCGACCTATGCACCACTTTTCGTATTTGTCTGCGTTGTTTTAAATTATTATCATGAAGATGGCAACGTCTTTCGCAGTGGTGCTGTAAAAGAGGAACAAATAGGGGACTTTTGTCGACGGCTTTGCAAATTAATATAGAGTATTACGTTCTCCCTGCAAATAGCGGGAAATTTAACTACTGCTTTGTTTAATTTGATAATAATAAAAAAATTATCGCGGTCTACTTTTAGGCTAACTTAACAGAAAACAAAGGTCCAACTCCGTCGTTAAAATGCAAAGCCGTCGGCAAAACAAAGGAAAAGGAAAAGAAAAGTAGTGAAAGTGAAAACTTTTGGATATTTTGTATCTAATCTAAATCCTTATTTTTTATTAATAAATCTATGTTTTCATATAAAATTTCTTAATTTCTTCAATTTTACAATATATTTTTTAATAAATCTATGTTTCCATATAAAATTTCTTAATTTCTTCAATTTTACAGGTTAGCCTAAAATTAGACCGCCATAATTTTTAAACAAAGCCCTCGGTAAAGTCCCTGTTAAAAAGGAAAGTAGAGAGTTTCTTGTGGAAAATAGTCTAAAACTGGCAGCTCTGTTAAATGGTTAAAAGCCCTACTTAACAACTTAAATGGTAAATGTAGAGTAGATGATGGAAGAGCAAAAAAGACCAAGTCAAGGAAGAAGAATCGGAAACAATCAGGAAACCATTAAAAAGAATAACAATTTCTTTTATATATATTTTTATATATATTAATAAAGCTATTTTAAATATATAATAAAGCTATTTATATTTAAATATAAATTTGTTGCTGTAACGCTGGTACCCTATGTGATGGCTTTTGCAAATTCTAATTTTTGTTTACGTTTGTCATGCACGTGCTATTGTTTACATTTCAAACAGTTTTTTTTCTTCTTTATTTAGCTCTATACCATCCACTAAATTACTACTAACCACACTTGCATAAATTATGATCAAAATACCATCTACAAAATGACTACTAACTACACTTGCATAATTTATGATCAATATATTATGGTTATATTATGGTCAAAATCCATCGTGGTTTTCAGTTAGTTATAAATTTTGGATTACCGTTCCCGTATTAGGTCATAGGCGCCATATTCTTTACTTGGTGTTGGACAAATGTCTGGAAATAGTAAATTTATGGCAGATTCTTAATTTTTTCATATGGTTCATATGTTGTGAATGAAAAAAGTTTTATAAACGATCTGCATTTTCTTGTCCGAGTAAATTTTAATGGCTTCATTTAAATTTTTTCCCTCTGTACCGACAAACCACGAATAACTATTAATCTAAAAATAATTGTTTATTTTGCCATTCATGCAAGTAGTTATAATTTTTAATAATTGTATTAAGTTTCCTCTTAAATCACATTTTCTATTGCAGTTGAACATGCAGTTATACAAACAAAAAAATCCGCCACTTGTAAAAACATGTAATAAGCTCGATACACAAAATCAGTTAAAGACATAACTTGTGTGCGTTGCTAAAGCAAAATCTTATGTTTGTTTAACATTAATGAACAAGCGTAAAATTAATATAGTGGAAAATTTTTTTAAAAAGTGATTTTTCAAGAAAAGGCAAAAGAAGAGACAAGAAAGTGATTTTTAGGAAACAGAAGATGGTTTAAATTATTCTTAGTAAGTTTGCACTACAGTTAATAATAATTTGCAATTAATTAACAGCCTTTAATATTAACGTCCTCCCAGATTATGAATTAAAGGAATGGTACTTACAAATGCAAAAGGATATTCCGCAGTGAACGACAAGCAAAAAGTTAGTTTATAGAGACAGAACTCAATACGGCTCTGGGAAGTAAGACGATGGTTATCGGCAAATAATGCTAGCAAAATCGCCTTCAACTGCTTGATATTTTGAAAAATTATAATTATAAAAGTGTTATGAAAATTGTTATAGTAATATATACCATAAATTTATTTCAATAAATACATGAAAACAAAAAATAAATTTCTACTTATAAGCAATACCCTTATAGCATAAGGTATCCGTTTGAAATTGGAAAAAAGGCTGAATAATTTCACTGCATGCTTTTACAGAAGCAAATACACACAAATCCCTTTTTTTCACTGCATTCACTTTTCAAAGTTAAAAATTTTGAAAAATTTGCTGAAAACTTTTCGTTAAGATAAGCTACATATTCGTCTATACTTCAATACACAAAATTAGTTTTATTTTGACAGCGTGTGTGCCACGCATCACGCATAACGAAAGCTTTAACGTACAAATTTGATCAAGCTGATTAAATATAATGTGGTTAAGCTTTACAAACGTATGATTTTTAATATACATGATGATCATAGTATAACGTGGGATACATATGCCTAAGGCTAAAGATGCCTTGAAGCTTGGCTTATGTTGTTCTTCTATCAAAGTAAATTACACGGTATTATAACTAATTAGAAAAACATGAGATACAGTTTAATAACTCAAAATAAATCACCTAAATCTTAGTTATCCCAGCTGTCTTGCCATAAATTCATAACGTTCACTAGCAATTATTAATTATATGCAGAAAATATCAATTGCAAAATCAGAAAGAACTCAGAATGTGTTAATGAACTGTTACCCACCTAAGAAAACTTAGCTAAATTCCAATGTAGAGTTCCATACAAGAAAATATAAACAAAAAAGTAACAGCAGCAACGCAAACAGCCAAGCTTTTTAGTTAAAAATGACATTTTTTACTTTTGAAAATGATGACGAAGCGATATCATATCATTGAAAGATCGTAGGAAATGTAACGCGAAGAGGGTAGTTCATGCTATAGTTTGTACGAGTTTGTGACACTTTTATTAGGTACTAATTACCACTCCTCTGATAGTAATTTTATAATAAATAGACGTTATAATATAAAAAGTATTCCCACGTTTAGCGAGGAAATTAATTTTTGAATAGATAACTTGTAAATATATATTCTATATGTAAAAAATTTATAAAATGAATAAATTAATTTCTTGTTTAGACGTGAAAATATAAGCGAAGCTTCTAACGAAAACATCCTCGCTCTATTTTACGATAAAAAACATTGCGTACATTTTAGGGTATCAGGATCATCTCTTTCTTGTTAGCCAAAAAATTCGTATACATAGTAATTTAGTTTTTAATATCAAGGGAATTTATTAATTTTTATCATTCAAGTTTTCCTTTTTTTTAGTTTATAAAAATTATTTTGCCTTTAATAACTATTCATATGGCAGCGTTAAGCCTATTACTGTCAAAATAATGTATTAAGCATTTACCAATATTTTTGTAGTTTGTTAGTGCAACAACAAAGTCCTTTCAGCTTATCGAAGGATTCCGGGATCCTATATCTGGGAACAAATAAATCCCATATAGTTTAAATATAAATGTTGAGGTTGGTAATCTCGCAAAAAGTTAGGATATACGGCAACACTGCGTAGTCATTTAGTGGGAAAAAGCGAGCGCGACGAGAGTTGTTTTCTTTTCATTAATGTTTTTTTGCGCTGCGGGTAGAATTTTTATTTTATTCTGAAAGCAAATATTTACGGGACTGTTTGCAGGTGTAAAAATTAATAATAAAATCGACAAGGCAATATAAGTAATTATAATAGCAGCAAAAAATTGTCGATTGATTAAAATACATTGTGCACAAAACACTTATTTATTAATATTAATATATTTTTCCCCAAATGCGTTTTTTTGTCGTTAAGCCTGCAAAAAAAAGAAAAAACATAATTTATTTTATACGTATATATACATGAGTGTGTATGCTTATGTACACACTTAAACTTGTTAAACGAAAATTTTGTTAATAATTTTTATACGACGTGTATATGATTGTATTTTTGAATGTTTTGATAAAAAAAAAGAAAATCAATTTTTTATAACTGTTAACAAAGTACTCGAAATTTTACATTTGTTTTTTTTTTCGTGATTGTTTTTATTTATATATATATTTTTATTTATTTTTTTTTTTTTGAAACAAATGCTTTTTTATATGGTGAAGTGAAAATTTTTACCCCTAAACATTATCTACAAAATTAATTGAAGAACAAGAGCAACAACAATCAAGCTATACAACTGCTATAGCACGAGGAGATATCGAAGTCAAAGACATCGATCGACATTTAATGCGTTTGTATGTACATACATGATTATACGTTTGTATATGTGTATAACAGCTACTTAGCTACCAGCAGAATTAACTTCTGCGGCCATTTGGAGCATTAACACAACGTTTATATATAAATACATATATATAAAAGACAACAACTCAGCGGAGGTGATTATTATATTCAGTTTTGTTATTCGTCTTTCTTTGTTTTTTTTTTTTTTTTTTTTTTTTTGCATTTGTTTTGCAATATTCGTAGTACTCTTGTATAAAAAACATTTGAGCCCTTTCATTGCTGTTAAGTTTTACCAAACAAGCATCAAATTACTTCAGTTGGCACATAAACTTTCTAGAATTGTAACAATAGTTAATTGTAATGTAATGTAGACGTTTGCACCTAAGCGTAAATGTTCATACATATGTACATTTGAAGTGCAGGCGAGCTGTAGTGCACCAATGACTTAGTTGTATGAAATATTTGTTTCTTGGTTACATTCGATGTGTAAAGGTGTTTTATAACTGTGTAACAATCGTTGCAATGAATTCTACATGCATACTTAAAACAATAATTCACCAACTCGCTGTTAGTTATCAAGAAAAAAAAAAAAAGATCATTATTATCTTTTTTTGATTAAAATTTGTTGAAATAATACCTTCAAAATTGTTTACAATGGGCTCGAGAATCGGTTAAATTCAACTGAATGCTCGTCTATAACTATCAAGCGTAATATGTAAATATTATGGGAGTGTGTCAAGATTTTCTAAGATTATACATAAGTTTCAGAATATGTATGGCGTACATTTGAAAAATTGCTGAATCAGTAACAAGTCTATAGATTTCAAGGCAATAAGTTTACCCAACCCAAAAGATGAGAAGAGACCGATTATATTACTGATTATATATATAAATCATTCTAAAGCTTCAAAATTCAATAATAATAAAAAAAGGCCAGACATATAGTTGCAGCCAAAAATTACCTGCTTACAAAGCCAGTGGATTAGAAATAGTATGGGGAAATGAATGCAAGCCACGAACTCTAGACGATGATAAAAGGGACATAAAAATTGAAAAAATTGAAAAAATTTAATGACATCTGCTAACATTGCTTTGATTATAGTTATGATTACGAAAAATTACAATTGTTCTTAAATATCTGGTTGACTATGGAAGTCGCGAAAATTTGATATCAAGCCAAATAATATGTAGGCATCCTCGCTTCACTTATTTATATATAAAACTTTCGCTTTTGCTATATATCAACAACATCATCATCAAATGCATCAAATGTTTTCTTTTTCCTTTTATTTATTTTTATTTTTTGCTTTTACAACAAATTTTCACTTTTCAATTCTTGTAATCAAAGTGAATTCCTGTGCGTGCAAAAATTTTTTTTGTTCTATATGAATTTAAAAATAGCATATGTAATAAAAACAAGTAAGAAAATTATTTTCCGGATGTGGCCGGATCTTTCATACGCTTCACATTTAAGCTTAGTTGATTTTTCCTATTTTTATACAGTCACTGTAGGATAACGCATTGGATATACGTCAATCTTTGTCGTTGCATCTACTGCAGTTTATGAATTTATTATAGACATGAATAATGCCTATTTATTATTCTTGTTTTTAGTTATTTATTTTTTTTCATTTCCAAAACGAAAGTGTTCTCAGCTTAATCAGTATTGTAGATTTCTCGACTAGTCCCGCATGCAAGATATTCTAATGTTTTTTCTTTTGCCAAATTTAAAATCGATATCTTAATGTCCGCAATCGGGAGGACCTCTACTTCATGAACGGACGGAAGGATATGACTAAATTAATTCAGAATTTGACACGGGCCAAGAATGTGTATACACTTTTGCGTGTTTCAAACGTTCTGAGATATTGAGTGTATGCCCTCTCTTCAATGGTGGGTATAAAAATGTGCGTAATGTTCGTTCACAGCGATCAGAACTAGAAGAAATTGTTGTACATTGACTGACGAATTGAATAGCTAAAAAACACCCGGTTATTTTTTATGTTTATACATTTTCTTATCCGTCTACCAAGTAGAAGGGAGTGTGCAAATTTGGTTCATCAATTGATATCACCAAAAAATAGGACACAAAAATTTATTTGACAGTAACAAAATTGTTATTCTTTTGATATTCAAAAATAGGTCACCACTTATCTAAGCATTTAAATTGTCTACTTGCGACACTGATGCTGTCAGTTATAGTAGTGCAGTCAGCAAGGTTAAACCAATAAGTAGCTGAATTAAAAAAAAAAAAACCCCGGCTAAGAAGATATATATACATATTGTAAAGAAAATCATTCGGTCACTTTCTGTCTGACCCTTGCCAAAACTCTAAAATGAAACCAAAAGAAATGAAGATACTTTCGCACCAATCAAAGAGGTTATGTTAGACTTGCAAATTTTTTTAACCCCTAGAGAAATGCATAAAAGATGACGTAAACAGTTTAATAGGTTTGGTTATGTGTATCTCCTGTCCATTTGTTGAAATCAAATAGACGGCCAGAAAACTTTGCTCAAGAAGACATATTTGGCCTCAAATTCATTCTATTACGATCGCCAGGAAAATATTTGCAAAATAGACCAATAAAATTTGATAAGTCTCGCTAGTCTCTTAAATTGTCGTCTCAAAATCGTAAGAATAGAATTTAGAACTTCTTAGCTGTAATTAAAATTTTCTCTCAATAAAATCTTCAAAGCAAGCTCAATTGAGACAACAACTTACGTAAAGTTATCAAAAACCCATATATAATGGAAAGTGCTGCCAAATCGTTAAAAGGTATGATTGAAAACAACATACGAATGGGGATCTCTTTTGCAAGCAAATATGACATCAGCTAGTGGGGGTGCATTGGAAAAAATCTGGTCAGAGAAAGAGAGAGGGAAAGCGAATATTAATTCTCTCTTCTTTTTACAATTACTTTGACCTTGTGTTAAATTGAGAAAATTTTTCAATTGTTATATTGTAAATTTAATGGGCTCTTAACGTTTAGATTCCAAGATGCAATGAAAGTCCATTGGTACAACCACTACGATACGAATGATTGCTTGAATTAAAAGCGATATTCACATTTAGTTTTTCACTAACTGTAGCTTAAGTCAAATTTGGACTTGTCAACCTTTAGTGTTGGTGGACTTTGGTGTTTTGTGAGAGAAGAATGCCTAGTAGTAACAAAACGTTTTAGAGTCAATATAAGGGTATCTATCGAACGACCTAAGCGACTTAACTTAGCGAGAATCATAACGAAAGACTTAAAACGCTGCTTATTCTTTCTAACAAGACTTTACTTAAAATTTCATGATCTAACAAATGGGCTTGATTCGTGTCAATAAGGCGTCGGGCATTTGCAATCAATTTTTTAATATTTTTCGGAATCGTTTCAATGATCTTTGTCGAGTCTTATTCGACTTTTATTCATTTCGGTTTCATAAGTCATCATAAACCGTAGGCACTGATATCTTTCAAATCAATCTTGATAAGGAAAATGCGCTTAAATCAACTTGAAAGTTTTCTAAAGCTGTTTGTCAGTGTGTTAGATAAGTTGAAAACTAACAGGAGCTTTAAGCAGACACTCATTTGAGAGTGCTTGGGGAAGAGATTAAAATGTCGAGGAAAAAATTTCTTTCAGATCATGAATTTTGCTCACTATCCTTTAGAAGACTTAAAGCCAGCCTGTATTATTAAGCGGATAAAAATAAAGAATTTGGTTTAATCCTTTAACACTATAGGACGTGTAACAAGGATCGATCTAAAGTTTATTGCGAAATCGAAGCAAAATATTACACAAAAATAAGGACAAATTTCGCTTTCGCTTTCACATTACATCTGTGAACCGAAGCAATGCATCCTACTATTGCGATGCTTCTTTGATCTCTCTCCATACTCATACACTTCATTCTTATTCAGATTATTGCTATACGTAATTGCCTATGTTAGTTTGCGTTGAAAAGTGTTGAGCCTTGGGAAGATCGGAACTCATAAGCAAAGCTACTTTTTTTTTATGACCAATCACTCTGGATATATTCTCTATGCATGAACACGATGATGACCAGGGAGATAGAAGTAGGGAAGGACCCATTTGATATTGCCGCAAGTTGAGAAGTGTTAGACCAATCGATAAATGTTATATCTACCGATCGGTCGTTACAGCATTACTGCGGGCACATATTACCATGCGATGATTATCAATAGGATTTCAACCGATGTTTTTCGCATTAAATAAAATGTAGAAATCTTACATATATATATATATATATATATATATATATATCGCATAGGCAATAGCGATAGGTGTGAAAAAGTACAATTGAAAAATCAAAAATAATGTTTATTTCCTCAGAATTTTCCTTTTAATTTTTTCTGGTAAACAAAATCTACATCTGTAGGGAAAGTTCACATGAGAGAAAAACATTTATATTAAACATGAAAAAGTGAGTCATTTAAATTAATCGAAATTTTCAATTCCCTAAAACAATTAAGTAATTTCTCATTAAATTGAAGAAAAGAAAAAAAAAAAAAAAAAAAAACACACATACACACAAACACGCACAGTCAGACAAATGAATTGACAAAATAAAGGAAAAACGTAAAAGTCTTAACCGGACATGTACCAATTAATTGATTTACAATTTCATAGTTACTATTAGAAGAAGTGTTATCGTACATGTAACCTTGAAATAAAAGCTAAATTAATAACACAAAACGAAAAAAAAAAGACAACAATTAAGAATATTACGCTCGGTTGTGGTCAAACTTTCAACACCCAACATCTGTATCTTAAAAATCTCTTGGGGAAAAAAAAGAAGAAGAAATGAATTCATATTCTATAATATTGAATGGGCGTGGACGACACCTTGTTATATTCTCCAATATTAGTGGTGCAAAAAAGTATATTAAATTTGTACGGATGTATACGCCAGCGAAAAAAAAACTTGAGATAGACCCAACCGATCGATTTACATGCGTATTTGAAGATCACTTTTATTCAGTTTGTTTGTCTGTCTATCTGTCCACCTATGTCCATGTGTTCAACTTATAGGTCGCAATTTTTTTTGAGATATTTTGCTGATATTTTGATTCGGTACGCGAATGTGTTTCGGCTTAGGTTCAAAGGCTATGAAAATTGGGTCGGATTGAGTCATTTTTTTTACACGAAAT